TGGGGCTGGTGTGCTCACACGGGGCACGGGGGGGATGGGGCTGGTGTGCTCACACGGGGCACAGGGGGGGATGGGGCTGGTGTGCTCACACGGGGCACGGGGGGGGATGGGGCTGGTGTGCTCACACGGGGCACGGGTGGGGTGGGGTTGGTGTGCTCGTCAGGACGCTCACTATCACTTCTGTAACCACTTAATGAGACGCTGGAGCCCCTCTTGAGGAATGGAAGGCCGCTGCCCTGAAACGCTGTCTGTCCACCCCCACCCTGGTGACGTTCTGAAACTCTGGGGTGGCTCTGGGTGCGAACGCGGCCCAGGGAGGCAGGGCTCTAGTGACAAGATGCCCGCACTTGTCTGGGTCCATTTCTAGACCTCATCTGACCCCACGGCCCCCAGGGGACAGCAGGTCAGGAAGCAGGGCGGGCAGGCACGGCTGTGGCGCTGAGCCACACGGCCCCTCTGCCGCCCTCTCGGCCCAGTCGCCGTGCTGGAGCCCCCGCGCCCCGCGCTGTCAGTGGGCCATCCTGCGGAGTCTCCCACGTACCCCACGAGGGGTGAGGCCCCGGCGGGGGACGCCCAGGGCTCGGCAGCGCTGCTGAGGGTGGGCGGCAGGGAGGGGCCCGTGTGGTCCGCCCCACGCTGGGCCGGGTTCTTCTGCCCCATTCACCTGCCTCGGAGGCTGGGCCGTGAGAGGCCCGGGTGCTTGTTCCGATGGGCGGGCATGCACCTCCCCCTGCCCCAGCCCCTCCCTGGCAGGAAGGGGTCCCCGGCCAGGAGTGTGGCGGACACTGGGCCAGCTCGGCGTCTCCTGGCAAGCCTGTGGGGAGCACCTGCCCGGGACGGCCCACTCCTGAAAGAGCTCGTAGACATGCGTGGCATAAAGAGGGACGTGTGTGCTTTATAAAGGCTTTGAAAATTGTGGAAAATATTCCTAACATAAAGTTTGCCACGTTAGCTATTTCCAGGCACACAAGTCAGCGGCATCACGTAGCTTTGTGATGTTCTACCACCTTCACCACAGTATTTTCATGGCCCCGGAGAGAAACCCTGTCATCACGAAGCAGGGTTCCCTGGTCCCTCCCTCAGCCGTGGTCACCTCTACTCCACTTAGTGTCCGTGACTTTATGTGTTCTAGGTAATTCATGTAAATGGAATCCCACCAGGCTTGTCATCTGTGTGTGACTTACATCACTGAGTGTAGTGTTCGAGGCCCATCTGTGCTGTAGCCAGGCCAGCACTCCCTTCCTTTGTAAGGTGACTCACCGCCAGACCACATTTTACTTATTCGCCAGCCTGTTGGCAGAGAGCTGGGCTGTTCCCGCCTGTTAGGTGCTGGGTAGGTGCCGTGTGGGGCGCCATGGGTATTGGCGTGCAAGTAGGGACGGGTGTGCCTCTCACCTATGACACGCGCTCTGGATGAATGTCCGGGTCTTACCGCGGGACGGCTGCCCAGCAAGTCCCTTGTCAGGCCGACCTGTCCGTCGTTTCTGAGCCTCGTCCTGGTGGAGTCACAGGGGTCGTTTGGACCGGCCTGGCGGGCTCTCTCCCTCCCACGCAGACGGAATATACTGAGACCGCGCAGGGGAGGAGGCACCTGTCCTTCACCAAAGCGCTGCGGGAATACTCATGCGCCCTTATACATTTGTTGTCTATTTAATTATTTTAATGGATGTAATTGTATTTTATTATTTTATCTTATTTTATTTTATCTTTTATTATTTTATTGTACTTTTATCATCTTATTTCATTATCTTATTTTATTATTTTATTTTATTTTTTAAGCTTTTTTTTTTTTTTTTTTTTAAGCTTATTCATCTTAGAGTAGCCAGGAAGCTTTGCGGGCATGGTGGCATCTAACCTTTTGTTTTATAAGCCAGGAGGAAGGTGGGAAGAATGGCGCATCCTGTCTCCAGGCGGCCTCACGCTAGGCCAGGTGGGGGCCCAGGTGCCCTCCGAGAGGGCTCAGGAAGGACTCTCCTCTCCATTTGGGTGAGACTGGCCCCAGTCCACCCCAGGGCCCACGGGACATGCTCTCTCCGAGCTTCCCTTCCGTCATGAGGGCGCAGGCAGGAGTCAGGTTCAGGTGTTACTGACTCAGGCAGTTAAAGTTCATGACATGAGACCTACACGTTGTTCTATGAGGCATCCGGGGTTTTCAGAGTCGATTTAAAGAAGGATCATCTGGTAATCTCTAAAATCTTGTGATAGGCTGTGTCCCATGTCACATCCAGAGAGCCCAAAGAATTAATAATCTATAGAATACAACTCTCTGTATTCAGAGCAAAAAGAGGGTCAAGGGGAAAGTCCTAGGACATCACACACGGAAGAAATAACATCGTTAACCTTGATCATTTTGAACTTGCACGACGTGTCCCAGCTCTACTTGGTGATTTTGACCTTGCTTTCCTTTTTCAGGTGAAAAAGGAGATTCTGGTGACATAGGGCCCCCTGGCCCTAACGGAGAACCAGGTATGGTATAGACGGTCCAAGGGTTTGTAAAAGTGTATTAAAAATTGCACTTTCTCCCAACTTTATTGAAAAATAACTGACATACCTCACTGATAAGGTTAAGGTGCACAGCACAGGGGTTTGATTTACAGATACCACAAAATGGCCACAACGGGTTCAGCTAACATCTGTCTTCTGCAGACACAATAGAAAGGAAAGAGAGAGGAAGGCAGGCAAACAAACGTATGCTTGTGGGGGAGCTCGGAGGACTAGGTCTCGGCCACAGAGCAGTGTTACTTTGTGTGTTGTATCTGTGGTGGGCATTTATCTTGGGGGGGTCTGCACCCCTTCCCCCAGCTCCCCTCCCCCACTACACACGTAAGCGAGGTCCTGCAGGATTTGTCTCTCTCTGCCTGACTCACTTCACGCAGCAATAATGCCTTCAGGTCCATCCACATTGTCACAACGTCGCAGGCTTTCCTCACTGTTTACGGCTTAGCCCACTGTGTGCACAGGTCACAACCCATTAGCCCAGCCGTCCCCGATGGACACGTGGGTTGGTCAGCTGGCTCCTCTCTGTATCAAGTCTTGAAGTGCTTCCGTTTTTTGAAAATGCTTATTTATTTTGAGAGAGAGCGGGCCCGTGTGCACGAGCAGGGGAGGGGCAGAGAGAGAGGGAGAGACGGGATCCCACCAGACTCCCTCATTTCCTCAATGTCCTGGCTTCTCTGCGTCTGCACAGTTGCTGCCCCACAGTCTGAGCTGCTCCCGGAGGCCACTCTCCACCCACCTCCCCTGCACCTCCCCTCTTCCTTCCCAGAAAACAGAGCCCAATTTTAAAAGAGGTCGTCGGTTTTCAGGGTGCCTGGGTGGCTCAGTCGGTTATGCCTCTGACTTGGTTTTGGCTCAGATCATGGTCTCTCGGTATGTGAGTCGAGTCCTATATTGGGCTCCACACGGACAGCATGTTTCTCTGACCGCCCCCCACCCCCACCTTGTGCTCTTTTTTTTTCTTAATTTTTAACATTTATTTATTTTTGAGAGACAGAGACAGTGTGAGCAGGGAAGGGGCAGAGAGAGGGAGACAGGCTCTGAAACAGGCTCCAGGCTCTGAGCTGTCAGCACAGAGCCCGACAAAGGGCTCGAACCCACAAACCGTGAGATCATGACCTGAGCCGAAGTCGGTCCCTTAACTGACTGAGCCGCCCCTTGTGCTCTATCTTAATAAACTTTAAGATAAAAAAATAAAAGCAGTCAGGCTTGGTGCCATCCTGCCGAAGTCCCTGCGCCCCTCCCCTCGCCTTGGGGATGAACTGGGGAATCTGTAATTGGCCTTCAAGGCCCCTCCTGCTCGGCCTGCGAGTGGGCGTTTATGTGGGTGGGGGCTGCTACGGGCACGTGCCTGTCCCGTGTGCTAACGCCGGCCGTGCCCGCAGGCATCCCGTGCGAGTGCAGCCAGCTGAGAAAGGCCATCGGGGAGATGGATAACCAGGTCAGCCAGCTGACCGCGGAGCTGAAATTCATTAAAAATGGTACGTTGCCCGGGTTGCCGGGTCTCTCCCCGCGCAGCCCCAGCCCCCAGCTCGGGGGGGGGGGTACGGAGGGGCTTGCACGGCCCCGGCGTGTGCGCCCCGCACGTGTGTATGAGTGTGCGCACGGAGTGTGTTTACAGAAGGCGAGCGCTCACCCTGCGGCACTTCCCCCCCAGCTGTGGCCGGCGTGTGCGCCCCGCACGTGTGTATGAGTGTGCGCACGGAGTGTGTTACGGAAGGCGCGCGCTCACCCTGCGGCACTTCCCCCCCAGCTGTGGCCGGCGTGTGCGCCCCGCACGTGTGTATGAGTGTGCGCACGGGGTGTGTTACGGAAGGCGCGCGCTCACCCTGCGGCACTTCCCCCCAGCTGTGGCCGGCGTGCGCGAGACCGACAGCAAGGTGTACCTGCTGGTGAAGGAGGAGAGGCGCCACGCGGACGCGCAGCTGTGGTGCCAGGGCCGCGGGGGCGCGCTGGCCATGCCCAAGGACGAGGCGGCCAACGCGCTGCTGGCCGCCTACATCGCGCAGGCCGGCCTGGCCCGCGTCTTCATCGGCATCAACGACCTGGAGAGGGAGGGCTCGTTCGTGTACCAGGACCGCTCGCCCATGCAGACCTTCGCCAAGTGGCGCAGCGGCGAGCCCAACAACGCGTACGACGAGGAGGACTGCGTGGAGATGGTGGCCTCGGGCGGCTGGAACGACGTGGCCTGCCACGTCACCATGCACTTCCTGTGCGAGTTCGACAAGGAGCACGTGTAGCGCGGGCCGCGCGGCGGGGCCCCGGGGCGTGGGGGGCCCCTGAGCCGCAGGCGAGCGCGGAGGCGGCCGACGGGCTTGTCTCTCCGCGGGGCCGCGTCGCGGGCACCGTAGCCGAATCTCACTGCGGGGCCTTTCTCAGAATCGCCCTCGCCTTTGTCCAGACCATAAAATAAATCTTTAACCATGATCATCGTTAAGCACCGACGGTAGCGGGCTCCTAAACTACTGTCTTCCTTTTAATTTCTGTGTGTAAAAGAACCCCCCCCCCCCCCAACTCCCGCCAATACTTCTGGAAACGACGAGGCCTGTGCTCCTCCTCACTGCCCCCCCCAGCGGGGACAGTCCTGCCTGCCGCGAGCGCAGGTTTCGGGCAAAGGAAAGCTTCCGACCTCCCAGGGGAGCGCGGGGTGTGGCCGCGTTGCCCCGACCTCTCCAGTCGCTGCAGGCGTTACTGCCGAACGTACCCCAAACCCAGTGTCTTGTGGAAACAGACGTACGCGGCCCACGCTTCCCGTGGGTGAGGACTTTTCTTGGGGTTTCCCAGGCCCTCTCCATCGGGAGCCACAGCCAGTGTGCCTTGGGCAGGATCCCGCTCCTGCGCCCCTGGGCCCCTCTGCCGGGCAGCCCTCAACACGGCGGCGGGCCGCCCCAGGGCCGCGAGGACCGGCCAGCGCCCCACAGTCGCGCCCTTTGTGACCTGGTCTGGGACGCAAGCGGCGTCCCATCACTGAATTCTCTTCAGAGAAGCGAGCCCCCAGCTCCCGTCCAGCTCGGGGAGGCGACCTCACAGGGTGGGGGGGCCAGGACCCCCGGAGCCAGCCTTCCGGAGCCGTCTGCCGCGGTCACCTCTGGCTCTTTTCCGCCCCGCGCGTCAGAATCCCTGGTGAAACATAAGCGTCTCCCTGTTTCAAGTAAGACAGCACATAAGCACCTACGGAAGACCCGGTGGTGGCCGTGGGGCAGGAGGGGGGGAGTGGAGCCCTCCAGGCCTCCTGTTGCTTGTGTCTGGTGAGGTCCTGGCTGGCCATTGTTCTGGACCACGTTTTCAGTTTTAATTAATTAATTATTACTTTTTTAATGTTTATTTATTTTTGAGACAGAAAGAGACAGAGCGGGGCAGGCGCAGAGAGAGGGAGACACAGAATCTGAAGCAGCACAGAGCCCGGCGTGGGGCTCAAACTTGTGAACTTGAGATCATGACCTGAGCTGAAGTCGGATGCTTAACTGACTGAGCCACTCAGGCGCCCCGAATAAATTAATTTTTAAATGTTTATTTATTTTTGAGAGAGAGACAGAGCGCATAAGTAAGTGGGGGAAGGGCAGAGAGAGAGGGACAGAGAACCTGAAGTGAGCTCTGTGCTGACAGCAGAGAGCCTGACACAGGGCTCGAACCCATGAACTGCGAGGTCATGACCTGAGCCGAAATGGGATGCCCCCCAGGTGCCCCTGGACCCTGTTTGAAGATGTTTGCCTAGAGCCTCCTAGAGTGATGGGCAGGCAAGGTTATGTCCAGCAGGATGGAGGTGGCGTTCCCCTGCAGAGGGGGGGCGGCACCTTCCTGCCCACTCTAGGTGGCTTGGGTTCCCAAGTTCTCGGTCCTTTCGGGGAGCCATCTGCTGCACATGCACAGGTTACCTGCCCCTTGACACGTGCGCTGCGGGGACTGGAGCCTGGGGGCAGACACGGCCAGCACTGGCCGATGCTGCAATTGTAGGTGGGGGGGGGCTGACGCAGCAGACCCTGCCGGAGCCCCCACTGCCATCCACGGGCCGGAAGCGTGGGGCATCTCACCGCCTGGACCCCTCCCTCGTGCCCAGGGGCAGATCCAGTCCTTGGGGTACCGTGGCTGTGGCTGGGCAGGGCCCTGCAGGGAGGTCTCGAGGCCTGAGTGAGCAGGGCCTCATGGCCATTGTCTCTGCTCCTGAGATTGTTTTCCGACCCCCCCACGGACCCCTTGCTCTGTCAGCCTGAGGGTGGGTGAGGGGCGTGCACCTGCCTTCCCATGGGCTCTTAGGGCTCGTGTGCAGCCCACGCGAGTCCCGGCACCCTAGGGTCCCCCTTTCCTCACCTGGAGGCGAGGAGGGCGGAGGGCAGCACCTCTGTGCTATCGCGTCCCGCACCCACGTCCTGAGGGGACATCAGGGGAAGGCACACCCGCCTTTGCACCAGCTCCCGGGCACCATCTTTTGCTAGGATGTCAACACGGGCGTGAGGTCAGAACCAGTGCCCCTGGTTTAACTCCCACTTCTCAAGGAGGGGCCTGTGGTGCAGACTGCAGAGTCTGATTTGCAAGGTAGGGGGGAGGCAGCGTGGCTGAGGACAAGCCGGGATGGATGAGGTGCCGCACCGAGGCGTGACCGAGGAGCTGCGGCGTGTTTTCTACAGACGGCGCCCCCCCACGCCCCCCGCAGCGTGGGCGGAGGCCCGGGCGCGGGGCGCAGCCTGGGGCCGCCGGGATCCGCGTGTCCACACTGCCATCTAGCGTCTGTGGCGAGAAACGCAGGGAGGCGTTCTTTAGGGTGGTGTGCGCGCGCGTGTGTGTGTGTGTGTGTGTGTGTGTGTGTGTGTGTGTGTGTGTGTGTGTGTGTGAGGGAGGGGATGGGAGCGGGAGGAGGGGAGGGGCAGAGAGGAGAGGGGAGTGAAGGCGGGGAAAGACCGGAAAGGGGAGAGGAGGGGAGGGGATCACACTTAGAAAGGAGGGGTGGGCAGGTGGCAATGCGGCCAACAAAGGCAGGGAGGGAAAGCAGGGTCTGGGTTCCCAGGCCCCCAGACGGGGGGGGGGGGGGGTGCCCTTCAGAAGGCCCTCGGTCACGTGGTTCGCCACGTGCCTCCTGCTGCTCAGCCAGGCGTCCCCAGGGCGGAGGCGGCCATCTAGAGCCGGCAGACAAAAGCCCAGTCAGAAGAAGGGGTGGCTCTGAGTGGGGGGAGATAAGCCCCGGGGCCGGGGCGCAGTTCACCTCTGGTCTCCCGGGGCCTGCAGCCCCGCACGGAGCCGGGACGCCTGGGGCCGGGGCTCCTGTGCAGCACCTGTCCCGGCGCCGCGTCTGGTCCTGCCGCCCCCCAGCCTGCGCGCCCCCCGCCTTGCGCCCACGCGGTGCCATCCCTGGGGGGTGCTGGGCCCTGCGCACCTTGCTTCCTGGGGGTGGGGGGTGGGGGCCAGGCTGGTCACCAGGCACAAGCCGGTTTAATCCAGGAGATCTGAACCCACCGGGCCAGCTGTTTCTTAGCCGTAAGCAAAACAGTCCGAGTCTGGCTACTTTGAGCAGAAAGGGGATTCATGGAAAGGGTTTTGGGAGTTCGCGGGACTTTTGGAAAGACGGGAGAACCGGGGCGCCTGGGGGCTCAGTCGGTTAGGCGTCCGACGTCGGCTCAGGTCATGATCTCACAGTTCGTGGGTTCGAGCCCCGCGGCGGGCTCTGTGCTGACCGCTCAGAGCCTGGAGCTGCTTCCGATTCTGTGACTCCCTCTCTCTCTGACCCTCCCCTGCTCACACTGTCTCTCTCTCTCAGAAATTAAAAAAAAAAAAAAAAAAAAAAAAGACCGGAGAACCATCCTTGGGGCTGCGTGGAAGGGAGCAGAGCCCATGGATGGCGCTGCACACGGGCCTGCTGGGTCCGGCCGTGGCCGTGGCCGTGGCTGCCCGCAAGCTGGCTGTGGCCTCTGCGTTGGTACCTCAGTAGCTCCCTATCCAGAGTCTGGAGGGGCAGGTCTGTTTGGATCTGTGTTCTGGAGCCACTTTGTGTGTCTGCCCAGGTTGCGCACTGCACAAATCCCAAGGCACCATTCACAGAACATGGTGACTGGGCTGTGTCTGAGCCACCGCTGTGAAGGAGGCTGGGAAAGGACACGGTTTTCAGTGTATCTTGTGGGAGCCGTTCTGCTCTCCAAGGAGGAGCAAATACCAAACCCCTGCATCCGTTAGCTTTCGCCATTCACTGACCCACCGCAAAGCTGGGTGCCTCACAGCAGCAGCCATGCTTTTACCCGCTGACCGTGCTTCGGGTCGGCAGTTTGGGCTGAGAGCAGCTGGGCTGTTCTGGGCGCGGCTGGGCTCACACGTCTCCCGGCGGCCGCTGGGGAGGCTGGTCCGGGACGGGCTGGCGGGCCTGCCCTGCAGCTGGCTCTCGTCCCCGGGGGACCCGTCTGAGCGTGTCCCCAGGGCGGCCGTTCCAGAAAGCAAGAGTGGGCCCGCACGGTTTCCCGAGGCCTAAGCCTCGGGCGGGAACCACACGGCTCCGTCGCTTTCGAAGGCTAAGTCAGTCGGAAGGTGAATCCAGATTCGAGGGGCGGCCGGACCGGAGAAGCTGCAAACCCATGTAGGGGGCGGTGGCCGCGTCTTCAGTCTGTCGCCCGCAGGAAAGGGGCCAGATGTGGCCCAAAGTAAGGGCTGAGGTCCATGGCGGGGGGTGGGGGGGGTGGGAGGAAGGGCGCGGCAGGTGGTCAGCGGAAGGGAGAGCGCGAGGGAGGGGACCAGCAAGCCCGCGCTCCGTCGGTGCCTTTGTCCGTTTCCCCGAAGGTCCAGCAGGCACTGGGGTGGGTCCTGTGCTCAGAAATCTCGTCGGCGCCTGGGAGGATCCTTCCCTCAGAGGCTCGAGGGCCCCCCACGAGGTGGGTCCCAAGGACAGAAGTTTCTGGCATTGCCCGGGGCTCAGGTACAGCGGGCTGCTCCTGGTGACAGTGTCCTGGCCCCTTCCGTCAGGCCGTGATGCGCCCAGCCCTGGTGACCCCGAGGGCCACCTCCTCTGGGCCAGTCACCCTAATCCCAAACCTCCGTCCCCCTTCATCCCCGGGCGGCTCCCTTGCCAGGACCGGCCCTCCATTCCTGTGTGACAAGTCACCCTGCCCTTGAGCAGCTCACGTGTGTGGCCTTGCACAGCGTCTGTGGCTGAGGAGTGCCGGAGCAGCTGAGCGGGGTGGTTCTGGTGGGGGCTCCTCGTGGGGGGCCCTCGAGCCTCCGGGGGAAGGATCCGAGGTCCGCCGACCCCGGGGCCCCTGCCAGGCTCAGCTCTGGCTCGGGGCTGCTGCCCGGCACCACCACTCACCCCCGCAGAGCCCGCCGGAATCAAGCGCGCGGTGGCGGGAAGGCTTCCCGTGCAGTCAGTGTGGCCATCGGGCGCGTGGGATTCAGCTAGTGAGACACATGTAAACTTTAAATCTCTTTTCACTTGTATTAGACACGTTCAAATATTTTTTCAAAGTTTGTTTATTTTGAGAACGAGAAAGAACGTGCATGTGCCAGAGCGAGTCCGGGAGGGACGGAGAGGGAGAGAGGGAGAGAGGGGGTCCCAAGCAGGCTCCAGGCTGCCAGCACCGAGCCCTGCACGGGGCTGGAACTCGCGAACCGGGACATCATAACCTGAGCTGAAATCAAGAGTCCGATGCTCAACCGAATGAGCCACCAGGCGCCCCTAAGGTTACATCTTAGCTCTGATTTTAAATAGCTGGTGGCTGGACAGTGTGACCCGTAGAAGCCGGCTCCCCAGGTGTGGCCGCCGGCCTGCCCTCCGTCATCGCCTTGCTGCGCGTCGAGGGACAGCCTCCCGGCGCCTCTCAAATCTGCAGTCAGAGCCCGCATTTTGGCTCTGGACGCACAGCAGACCTGGGGAGCCGGGCTTCGGGTGCGGATGGGCCGGTCGGGCGGGTCGGGAGGCCTTGGCACCCCCCGTGCATCCCTCTTGGCTGCTCTCTGTGCCGGGAGACGGGATCATCAGGACGGGGTCCCAGGGTCACGTCTGCGAACACCATCGGCTACGTACAGAGGGACAGGATGTGGCCCGTGTTCTTAGGAATCCCCTCCGGAAGGGTAGACAGACGTGTCAGCGCGGACCGAGGGTGTGGGCCCCGGGCACAGGCCGGGAGGTCCCCGTGCTTGGGACCCCCGGACGCTCCGAGCCCCTGCTCCCGTTCGCTGGCTCGGGACTCAGGTGACCGTGGATGAATCTCCTTCCTCCGGAGCCTCCGTTTCCGCACGTGTGAGGTAGGACGCGCCCGCTCTCCGGGGTGGTGACAGTGCGTGCTGGCAGCCATGGGCCCCTGCTGGCGCTGCCTCACGGAGACGCCTTCCCCCAGACCCGGGGCTCCAGGGCAGGGACCTGTGTCTGCTGCCAGGGGCGGCACCTCTCATCAAGGTCGGCGAGGTCCTTGAAGTCGCAGGAAAACTCCTGGGGCTGAGACGCCTTCCCCTGTGTTGAGTCCCCCAAAGGCGGTCGTCTGCAGGAGCATTGCTGGGTGTGCAGGGTGAATGCAGGAACCTTCTAGAGACAAGAGCGAGTGACGCGGCCCCGGCCGGCGGCAGGAGGCCGTTCGCTAGGGATGAGGATGGCGGGTGGGCCTTGGTGGGAGGGCCGGGCTGCGGGTCTCCAGGAACAGCTCTTCACCTCCCAGCCCCTCCCCCCGTTGGCTTGTGACATCACACAAGGATGGCCAGTTCCAGAAAGTTCTGTCTTGCTAGGTGAGGCCCTTCAAACTCCCTCCTGGCTGGCCCGAGAGCAGCATGGGGCCTGGGCTGGCCTGTGGGGAGCGAGAAATCGGGTCCTAAACGCTGGACTCCGGACTCCTAGCTGAGGGGACGCTGCGCCTTATACATCACTCCCTGTGTGAGAGCCATCCGGGCCGTGGGGCTTGTCCTTGACAGTGGGAGGGGGCGGGGGGGGGCCACAGACCCTGCGGGCCCCATGCTGGTGTGTCTGGGGCCGGACCCCAGGCCGTGTTTCCAGAGCCTGTCCCGCCAGTGAGAGCCAGGCTGGGCCCGTCCCCC